GGCTGCAGCCCCTGTGGCAGTGGGTTGCCATGGGCTACCATGTGTAGCCAGCAGCCAGCGTGAGTGGCCAGCAGCTGAAGAACAAAAAGACAGCAACTTGTCTGTTCCCCTTCCCCCAATTCCCCAGTGCTGTTCCCATCCCCCAATTCCCCAATAAAAATCTTTTAAAAAAATTATAATAATTTTAACAAAAAGAGTAAAATCATAGCTTTCGCTCCACAGTTGAGAGTAAATAGAATTTATCAAGGTAAGTTCATCTTGCATATGAAAATATAGATAAAACAAAATTAGCAGGTAGTTGCTCACACTTAACAAAAAGATAGAATGTGAAATAACTGGGAGTGATAATTAGTAGCTCTTAATAACTTTTTGTTGTGAAGTATAAGCTCTCAATTCTTTTTTAATTTGAGCAAAATAAAAGTACCTTGGAAACAGCCCACCTCACCCCATCAAGTAATTTGTAGTTAAGAACTACATTACCACAGCCACTGTCTGGAAGCCACCAGGATCAAGAAGCTGCCACTTCCACGGTCAGCTCCCAAATCACACCATACCAATGACAATCCGAAGCAGCAAATTGGATGCACCATTCCATGCTTCCTGATGTTCACAGAGCTAACGACTGAACAATGGGACCTCTACAGAAGGAAAAAAAGATGCCTCCGCAGCCTTGCCTATCAGAGAAACAGCCTTCCAGATCTTAGATGGAGGCATCTGATTGTCGAAGCCTAACTTCTTCCATACTAAAAGCTGCAAGAGAGTCTGGAGGATGTGATTTTTTGGCTTACCAGTCTCTGCGGCACAGGAAGCATACTTGAAGCTTGAAGGAGGATGAAACAGCTGTTAGGTGCAATCCTGCTTATCCTCCACACTCACCTAAAGAAACTGAAGATTTGGTAGAGCGCACATTTCATGCTGAGCATTTGTAGAATACTGAAAGATCACATATATGAGAGAGCGCACATGCTCCATAACGGCAGGAAGGTACAGAATCAAACCTCAGCTCCCAGGCAGCACCATTTTAGTACAACTTTTTCCAGGGGGAAAAAATATGTTAATAATTTGCGATTTTGTTAATGCCCAGTAAGTGCAACCTCCCATCTAGTTATATTACCTACTATTTTCTAGATTGGTGCTCTCAAATTTTAATGTGCACATAAATCACCTGGAAATGTTATGAAAATGCAGATTCTGTTTCAGTAAATTGGGACAGAGCCTGCGATTTTGCATTTCTAACTGCTCCCAGGTGCTGCTGAAGCTGCTGATGTGAAGACCACATTTTGAATAGCAGCATTTTAGATAAACCCTGGCCTGCCAGGCTGCCCCATGAATGGAATATGCTGAGATGATTCCCTTCAACCCGTGGGGCAGATAGGTG